AAACTGTCTCATTTCCCTCTAAGCATTCTAAACGGCCTGTGCTGCTTCTGTTTGCAGAGCTCACACCTGTTTTAACCGCCTGGATCTCCCCCCGTACCCGTCCTTCTCCATGCTGTACGAAAAACTCTTGACAGCGGTTGAAGAAACCAGTACTTTTGGACTTGAGTGACCTGGACACAGTGCCTGGCTGCGGTGTGGACAGGCGACTTCGGAAGCTGCCCTCTGGAAGATTGACTGAACGCTGGAAGTTTCGAGAGCACGCTTCCATGAGAGTAAACCTGAGTGCTGTCATCTTCCAGGGCCACGTGCTCTGCTGCATTTGGGGACTGGATAGTGGCGAAGAGTCCTCTGTGAAGGATCGGGGTGAGCTTGATGCCCAGGGAACAACCCCACAGTCTTTCAATCAACAGTTCTTGACTGCCAAACTCTTTCCATTTGTTACTGTCCAAGACAAAGATGAACATGCACGCGATCAGCTCTGTGGTAACCTTTCAGGGACTCGGGAGAATCTTGAAACTTACCTTTGAACATGTCGTTCAAGCCAAACTGGCAAGACTCGACCCAATCTCCAAATTAATGCGAGTTCAGTAATGTGATGAAAACAAATATGTTTCCTGGAAGTACATTCATTTAAGCCCTAAGTTATAACAGAGGATTCCCTTTTCTTGCTTATGTGTGCCTGCATGGTGTGCACCATAGGTTTCAGCTTTCATGGGACAGGAGTGCAAAAGAAACCAAGTCAATATGGGGTAATTTAAAGCTTTGCAATAAGGTGGTCCATGACAATGTATATGCAAAATGTGTAATTACGGCTGAAGAGAAACTGTTATACAATGAATTACTGACAGATTTTATGCTTTATAATGCATGGAAACAATTTTAAATAACTAGCAGTTAACTCACAGCATATCAGGAAAAAGTACACAGTGAATTCTGTTTATTTTTTATAGGTTCATTATATTTATGTTCTGTAAGATGTATATAGGACCCTACCTATCCGACTGTACGTGTCACCTGTTCCATTTTCATGTTCCATGCTTACTTGGGCATCATGCTAGTATGTATCCTTTTAAGCACTCTCAAGGGAACTAAAGGGCCTTTTATTTTTATAAAGGTACAAAAAAATTCCCCGGAATATTTTGCACTGAATGTACCAAAGTTGAAGGGACATTACAATATGACCAACAGCAACTCCATCACTTGACAAGTATAATAAAAAACAGCTTCTAAATCAGACTTCCTTCACAGTGCCATGTCTACCACTACAAGGACTGTGCATCTAAGTAATAATTTTTTAAGACTCACTATATGTGATAGTATGATATGCATTTATTTAAAATGCATTAGACTGTTCCATCCATCAAATACTTTACAGGATGGCATTTAATAAAGATATTTCGTATTTTCCCCACTGCTTTTTATTTGTACAGCATCATTAAACACTAAGCTCAGATAGGGAGCCATCAGCAACACCCAAGAGGTCAGCTCTCTTTAGTAATAAGAATTCCATTTCCCCTCATCAGTGAAGATATCACAAATTGAAACTCTCAGTACTATATTTCTAAGCCTGCATTTTCACTAATGCATAACTTTCTTATCAATATAAGGAAACAGTTTTTCTATGGTATCTCGGAAATTGCATGACATCACTAATGTTATATTTGCTTAGTTTTATTAGAGGGTGTCCTTTGTTTCTATTGCTTTTGGGGTTTTCCACATCATTGTTCATATCCTGACTTATGGCCCTAACTAATCAGAGGCTCAATACAGTGAAGTTAAATTGTGAATAATAAAAGCATTGGATTAACATTTGCTTTGCCAGCCTATGGTTTTACAGGCATTGCCTGAACACTTCTTTGAGATACAAGTAGCCATGGAATTCTAGTTATGGGATGTTGGCAATCTTACAGTTAATAAAGGTTATATGCATGGTTTTTGTTAGGTTGGTTTTAAAAGCTGATTGCTCCCCTGTTGGTTAAGCTATGTTTACTACTGGGAGTCTCAAGAGGAAACCCACTCATGTTGCATTCCTGCACTAAAGGCAGATACTGCACTGTGGGGAAATGTTCTGAAATAAAGGCCACAGAAACCTGCAAATGAGAAAGGAAGATTTACCTGTGTACTATAATTGGACCAGAAAAAAAAGGAAGGGAAAAAACAATTTTAACTGGAAATGCTCGTTTGTACTTACTGATCATGAATATAAGTATATTTAATTTTGCAAATTATTTGCTTATATTTTTTCATTATAAGGAAAAATAACATAATACACTTTCTTTAAAATACTACATTTTTGATGGTATATGAGATGTTTCAGAGCTGACATTCTCTAAGCAGCTGATACAGAAGGTTACACTTCTTTCAAAGATACATTCATAGGCTGTGCTGGCTTTCATTTTGGTTTGTGACACTTTGCTACCATATACCATATTATTAGGTACAAGAAATTTGAAGTAAAATGTACCTGTTTAATTATTTCTAAAAAACTTATTTGTTAGGGCATCCAACTTCTCAACAGTGTTAGCATCTAGTTGCTACTGTTCTCAGAATTGAGGATTATCAAAGATTTACTTAGAATATCAAAACACCATGGTAACTGACCTATTTTTTTCATTAGTAAAACAAAAAGTCCAATAACAACTTTATAAAATATTAAATACTATTTCCACAGAATCATTTAGACTTTAATATACTCTGCAAATAGAAATATCCATAACTATTTTCTTCTGGACTATGAACTAGGTAACTTGCGGTATGGCCTTGTTTTCTTTAAGAAATTCTTGTGATGCTCATACTATACTTATAGTATAAAAGACAGTCACGATACATCGTGTATGTATGCAGGACATCTCTGAGAGGGGAGAAGAGGCACATTATTGGCCTTCACTCTGTGCCAGCCACTGTGTTTGATGATGGAGCTACAAGATTCAAAACCTGCCCTTGAGAAGTTCACGGTCTGAAGGAGTAGACATCAAGGTTCAAAAAAGTATTTTTAATAAAATTTGGTATGTTCTACAATCAATGAATGAGAAGAGAATGGCTTGTTCCACCTGGGAAATCCATTGAAGGCTTCATGCATGGGAGCTACTGTAGCTAAAAAAAAAAATTAATTAAAAAAAAATTCACATAAATGCCCTTTCCCTTGGTAACTAATGACATGTAATAGTGTGTCAAGACTGGTCAAGTGTTGGATCCTAGGGTGCGTTTATACACAAGGGTTGAAAGTGTGCATGTGGGAAGCTGAACCATGAAGGAACAACTGAAGGATCTTCAAATTATCAAAGAAATGCCAAAATTAAGTCTGGTAGTTTCCCAGTTTCCTTTCATCGGCACTACAATGTACCTTCAGTTTTCAGTGTGAAAAATACCAGTCCTTGAGCCCAACCCACTTCACACTTCTGGGGTCAACACATTTTTCTTGTGCACAAAACGAATGAATCTTGGTCAAAGAAGTGTGATCAAAATTTTCTAGCATATGTGCGTTTATAATTTAGTAGAAATTCTGTAATAAATGAAGGAAAATCTGTGTCACCTGCATAACAATCCTTAGGGTAAAATGGCATTCAAATGATTAACAGTAAATGGCAGAACATGTTTTTATACCACTTTAGAGTTTCAAAGTACTTTCAGGTGCATCATCTCTTAATCCTCACATACTTTGTGGGGTGGAAGGTATCACGTCCCATCTGCTTTGAGGCTGATTTTCATGGATTGCTGGTGAGATGTTTCAGGACTTCATAGTTACAATTCTAAGTTTCATCGCTACGGATGTAGAGACTAATGTTTCTGCCAGCATATTCCACTTTCAGTGAGTTTTGCAAGATACTCATCTACCAAAGGCTCACTTTTCATACACCCTTAAAATGTGACACTTTCTGAAAAGCCCACGAAGAAATTAGTACAGTATATCCATGGAAAAACTCCCCATAGGCTTAATAGTTGCATTTTACTACTTGTTATATGAAATTAAAAACAGAATGCAAAATTTGATTGCTTTTGTTGGATTTATATAGTATAGTAGTTTAGTGTTCACATATTATTTGAAAACAACATAATGAGGGGGGAGAAGGCGCTTTAATCAGAAACCTTATTTTGTTTCTTAATTTTTAGTAAGGATGGATCTAGAAAGCCAGCCCTGGTAGCTGAGTTGCAGTGATGCGGATGAAGATACTGCAGGGGTTTTTTTTCCCCTCTCCTCACATTCATCCATTTTTTTTCTTTCTTTTTACATAAATTATAACTTGACCACTTCTAGCTAAGACAAACATCTTAAAATGAAGAGTCTAAAAGTCTTTCCAGTTTTAACCCAATTCAGGAAATTCCCAAAGCTGGTGAAATGATGCTATATGGTCATTAAGAGATATCTATAAATCTGCATAGTCAAAACATGCAAATGAAGGCTAGCCTAATCTCCAGTCTGAGTTTCAGGCCCTTTGTTCTCTCTTATCTGCTTTCTGATTTAGAGCAGGAGTGAAAACACTAGATCTTAGATACCTTACTTTCATAAAATTTGAGTTTACATTGAGATTGTCACTTTCAATTAAATTCAAAATTTGCAAAAATCTGTTACCTTTCTGGTTTGATTGTGTTTTTCAGGTAGATTTGTTTGTCTAACGTGGAAGCAAATTAATACCAGAGACGTTACAGCTTTCTAAATTATGGCTTACAGCCAACCAACTGCTGCCCACTGGGTGATAAAAACAAAAAGCAAAAAAGAGGAGCCCAGCAGTCGTGCCCCCCATCCCAAGAATGTAATGCTAATTATTGACTAACAGTCAAGACAGGAGTGGTAACTGCATTCCAAGGAGTGTGTCGGAATGCAGGAATTGTTAAAGGAGGACTGTGACAGGGGAAGTTAAAACAAGAGTGGGAGGATCATGTTAGGGCTTGCTGGTGGGAGTAGGAACGTGTACTTAAATTTGGTTTCTGACTTTGAGAAAAAGAATGCCATGCTGTCTAATGAGGGCATGACTTGATAATCTGCCTGATGGGAAATACCCCACTTTATGAGTTCAGTAGGTTGATAACATTTTTGGTATTACAAAACAGAATTTAGCCCCCAAATATTAAAGCTAACAATAGCTTAATCAGGAGGTTCAACAATTTAGTATTAAAGTATGTTGTGGATATTTTTAAACTTAAGAAGTATTGTTACTATTATTGAACTCTGTATACAAAACAAAAGAAAGGATGTTGCTTGGCTTTTTGCACTTAATTTCTTTTTTAGCAGGCATTCTTTGACGTTAGAATAGCTTTTGAGACATGTTCATGGTTTCTAATGGTAATTTAAATGTCCTCTGTTAATCTAGAAAGCAAAAACCTAAGAGTTAAGTTACTGAATTTCAAATGGAGACCTAATCAGTGTTTCCGATTTTTCAGGAAGTTAAACAAAACTGAACATACATTTGCTTAGACTTAATATGCAAAGCAGTTGGCTTTCATGATTGGACAGTTCAGCAGAACTGGAAGGCCCTAGTTTCCTGGGAAACACAGGAAAATTGAATTTATGTATGTGATTTTTACGTAAATATCACCTTGGGCAGGTGATATCTTTCTATCCAATTTTCTTTTAAGATAATACAACCCTGAGGAGTGTTGATCTGTATGTTGTGTGATTCAAACTGAATCAGCTGTTACTGATGCCAGTGCGGAATCATCAGTAAACTTCTGGCTACTATCACCTTCTGCAAAAAAGCATGAATAACATTCAAGAAACACCTTGGAAGGATTGACCCGGAAACACAGAACTGAATGTTCTTTTAGGACCTTAATGCTCTAAAAGATGTTATTACAACTTATTTATTTTTCTTTATATGATATCATAAGTGAAATTTGAGGCTGTTAATATGTTGGAACATACATAGATTACATGTTTTTACAATAGGGATGCAGGCATTCCAAAATAAATAAAAGTACATGCATCTCTCTTGCCTCTTACTGAAAGTATTAATCTAATTTTATAATAATGCTTACTTTTTAATATTAAGGCTCTGTAAAAAACATATTTATTTCTAAGATTTCAGTAGAGCACAGGTGGTATATTTTTTAAAGCCTTTCCATTTCTTTTCACCAACCTCACCCATTGTGTCCACTACACCACACACGCATCGCAGTTAATAGCTATGTTTCTATTTTATTGAGTTGATTTAAACTTCATATTTCTTCAATGTGACTTTTAATAAAGAAAAATGGGAGGCATTTGTTATTGGCATTAAAGTCATACAGCTCTCATTTCAGCTTTAAATTTCATCTTTTTTTTTTTCTTTGCAAAGCAAATAATGCAGATTGTTGACATCCTAGAAATGATTCATGGGTGGTATTATATGGAGCCTGGAACTCTGAAATGTAGACTAGTTGTTTGTTTTCTGCAGAGTCTGTATTCTTATCCTCACCTGAACCCCTGACTTTTGTGTTGTATTTTTTTATGATTCTGAAATGCTTTGAGGGAAAGATATTTTAATGTGTACAATTTATTTTATTTTCATACTGATCTCTATTTTTGTTTAAAACCATGTTGCATCATGAAATCACCTAATCCAAAATAAATCTTCTTTAAAAAAATAGATTATGATTTTTCTGTGATACATTTGGGGAAGAAAAAGCTGGAGGGAAGAAAACAAAGTAGGGATAAAGGTCTCATGGGATTAGTATGCAGCTTTCTGGGTACGAGAAATTTTCTTTTCATGATATTTATAATTAGGAATCTATTTTTTTATCCCTAAAATGATATTTGCTATGTGCTAGGCTACCAATTAATGTTGAATAAGTGAATTAACATAAATATAATCTCTTAACTCACATGGATTGAGACTATCTGTTAAACCATCTTGGTTGAATGCTTATTTCATAAACACATGCACATCACCACAACCTCCAGCACCAGTCTAATCCAGGTGTCACATATTCACAAACCCAGAGGGTCCAAGAAGGTATTTAATGAGTGAAACTGGCTGGGCGTAAGCAACAGTTTCTGGCTGGGTTTCTCTTTCAACACAGGACCTGATTTCATGTGACTAGAATCTGCTGGAGCAAAATATTAGAATGTCGCCTTTAAGTAAACCCTACCAACATGATGCAAATGTTGGGCCGCTTGAAGTTGTCACAGAGGCTCCTTACGCTGTCTTCATATTTCTGGATTCTTTCTTCTTTTTGCTCCTCTGATTGGGTATTTTGTGCTTCCTCATGTTCCAAATTGCTGATTTGATTATTGGCATCCTCTACTCTACTGTTGATTCCCTGTAAATTATTCTTCATTTCAGTTCATGTAGCCTTCATTTCTGACTGGTCCTTTTTTATGTCATTAACGTTCTCACTAATTTCCTTGAAATTCTCACTAAGTCTCTTGAAGCTCTCATTAAGTTTCTTGAGCATCCTTGTAACCATTGTTTTGAACTCTGTATCTAGTAGTTTGCTTGCTTCCATTTCATTTAGTTATTTTTCTGGAGATTAATTCTGTTCTTTCATTTGTTACATATTTCTTTGCCTCCACATTTTGGCTGCTTCCTGGTGTTTGTTTCTATGTATTAGGTAGAGCTGCTATATCTCCTGGACTTGGTAGAGTGGCTTTGTGTAGTAGGTGTCCTGTAGGATCCAGTGGCTCAGCCTCCCCAGTCACCTGAGCTGGGCCTTCTAGGTGCTCCCCTGTGTGGGCTGTGTGCACTGTCCTGTTGTAGTTGAGCCTTGGTTGCTGTTGGCATCACTGGGAGGAATTGGCCCCCAAGCCAATTGGCTATAAGGATCAGTGGCAACTGCAGCCAAAGAGCTGCTGTGCTGGAGACACCCCTATGGAGCAGGATTTGCTTCATTGGATCTTTGGTGCTCACCAAGTGCGCCCCTTGAGAGTGTCACTCGTGGATGTGGAAGGGTTGTAATCTAGCATGGTCGAAGCTGACCACTGGGTGCACTGTCTCTAGGGCCTCATGAGAGGTGCAAAATCAGCCTCTGCCTGTGTCTTTCCCAGGGTACCCAGCATGAGCTACACAGCAATCTGTAGATGGCTGCCACTTGTGTTGGACTTGGAGGTGCCCAAGAGAGGCCAAGCTATGAACCAAGGTGGGCTGCCGCTAGTCCCAGGGCTGGGGCCACTTATTAAGAGGTATGGAGCACGCTGAGGCCAGCTGCTGCTTGAGAGATTTTAGGAAGGTCCTAAGCATAAGGAAGAGAGGCCGGTTGTATGGAAAAGCCCCTGGAAATGGCTTGGATAAGCTTGCAAGTAGGGAAGAGTGGGGTCTCAGGAAATTACAGGGCGGGGTGAAAAGTGTGAGCCAGGTTGATGGAGGTTCAGGTATGGCACCTGCCTTCCGGATTTGTGTGGGGAGGGCTCATCAAAGGAGCAATGGCCTCTGCCAACTCTTCTGTCTGGGAGAGAGCTGCCCCTCCAGCTCTCACCCTGATTTCAGGCAAATTAATTCCTCCTCGAATGCTCTAGGTTCCTGTTAAGCTGCTGCCTTAGCGTTGAAGCTCAGAGGGAGTGAGTATGAGGAAGTCCATGAGTGGGCCCATTAAGAGGAACTCCCAGGGGCCAGTAGCCTCCTTGTCACCCAGCCACAATCCTCCCTGGTTTTTACAGCTAGAAGTTGTGGGTACTTCTCTTCCTGGTACTGGAACCCTGGGCAGGAGGGCCTGATGTGGGGCTGGGACCCCTTGCTATCTCTGGAAAACCGCCACAGCCAAGTTATCCCTCCCGATTTTAAACTGACACACGTGGGTGTGGGACCAGCCAGTTCCACAATTCCACCCCTCATTTCTGTCCCTCCTACCAGTCTCCATGTGCTTCTTGTTTAATTCCCTAGTTGTAGGACTTCGCTTCAGCTAGATTTCAGGTGGTTCAGAATGATGGTAGTTCTGTATTTTAGTTATAATTTTGATGTGGTTGTGGGAGCCTGGGAGTACTGCATTTACCTACACCACCATTATCTTTGATATTTAATTGGTAGTGTGAGTAATTGACCAAAAAAAAATAAAATACTATTAAGACATAGGAAGAGATGGGGAAAGGCAAATATATATAATGAGGGTAGACAATCACTAATGGATGTGCTTGAAAATGATCTGTGCTTACCATTACCTTTCTAAAAACCAATTAGTATTAACTCATAAGAGTTAAGAGAATCCTTGTCTTGATTCTGTATTTTAGACTACAAGTGAATTTCATATAACACATGGGAGCAGTTGAAGGCACAGACTCATCCTGTATAACTGATTGAAGTTTTACATGGTTATTGACAGGGAAGAGCAAGAGATTGCATCCATGGTGCTGACTTCCTGATTTTTGTATCATAGCATTCCTATAACCTTTGACCTCAAAGTGCTTATATTATGATCAATTTATCTGCTTTCATTATATACTTTTAATAAAATCTGAAAGCCAGTTAATTAGTGAATATTTTAACAATGTGTAATTCCCACTATCCCACTCATCGTCCCTAGGGAGTTTTTTCTTGGTGTTTTTTAAAATTTCATCTTTTAACCAGAAAGCTTTTAACCTTTTTATCAAGAAATGGAATATATTTTTTTCATCATGCTTCCTTCTTTTTCTTTATCAAAAGAAGAATACCTATTAATGGCTTTTTTTTCTTTTGAAATAGATACTTCCTTCTAACTAGATATTGGGTGGGCTAGTAAATTTTGAAATCACCATAGTAAATTGAAATGAGGAAATCTGTTAAAGATATAATGTTTACATTGATAGAAATGAATTTCACCATTTTATTTGCCCTATTATTATAGTTCCTCTAAAGAATTTTTTTAGTTGCTAATTGTTTGTTTAGAAAGAAGAGGCAAGCAATTTTCCAAAGCATAAATCATTGGAACACTATATATTTGACAATTTATAATAATGTTATGAAATACTACCTCTTGCTATACAAAATACTTGGGTACTGTAGTAATTCATGTCTAGTTGGCATTTGGTTGGCATTGGAAAATGGACCCCAAATCCAAATTCTTGAACCTTGTCATGACATTGTCAACACATCCCTCTCCCAGCCTCCACCCCCAAATTAAATTCCTGTGCTCAAGATGAAGTAAAGGCTTGCTTTTAATTACTGTGAGACTTTCACCCCAATGTCCAAGGCAATGTCCTTTGAATAGGATTAAACCACATGAAAGATGTTCTTTGTAGAGTCACTTCTAAAGAGACCAGAAAAGGTCAAGGGACATCCTATACTTGTCCTCCCTAAACCCACAATCACAGCTCGATCCTTTGCAACTCATCTTGGGTTTTAAGAAGGGAAACCCAACCAATAAAAAGAAGTAAGTAAATATGTTGTATATGAATCTGGATATATAATGTATAAATCTGGTCCAGATTGCCCATTCCGTGAATTCGCAGGGCAGAGGAGTCCCAAATGGGAACAGTATGACTCCTGGGTCCTGAGAAATGGGAGAACCTCAGAACTGCATGGCTGTACCTGACTGAAGTTGGGCAGCTTCCCTTCCCTTCCAGCCTCGTGGCCTGGAAATGCAGGAGAAGTCTCAAGTGATAAAGTCCCCAGAGAGGACAAGATTCAAGTCTGGGTTCCTGAACTGACCAGTCCAGACCAGCATTTCTTTTTTGGAACGGCGGCAGGGAGAGTGGACAGGAGCTATGCATTTCCCCTGGAGGCCAATTCTATTCCTGAATGATTGACTTCCTAGAACAAAACAACAAAACAAACAGTTTTAACTGTTGGCTAAAGGACCAGTCACTAATCAGTGATGATTTACTTTTTACTCCAGTTTCAATGAGAAAACCATGTCAACATTTCTTAAATGTTGCATTAAATCGCCAGTAGTGGTAGAGTGCCCTCCAATAGGGAAATGTAGCCTGAAGCTAGCCCTACCAATACAAAATTACTTGACTGCTTCATTTATTTTAAGTAAAACTTGTATATATCATCAAACTTGGTTTTAATTTGAAAATAAGGATTTTTCCCTATTAGTTTTAATAACAGCTGCTTCCCCACTTCCTCAAATATCAAAGAAATTTGCTGATCCAGTGAGATACCGCTTTGATTTTGACTGTTCCTTGGCCAGACACTGTGTACCCTAGGGTGTGCACTCATTGGTTTGAAAAGCAGTGTCTATATCATCAGAGTCTCTTCCTCATACAACACTACTGATAATTTGGAGTGAAAATGTTTGGTTTGTTTTCTCTCATCTGTAATTAACCTGTCTGTTATAACACTCATAACAATGTTTAGGGAGGAATGAAGATAACAGGCTATCTGAATCTTGGAACCAAGCAGAAATGCCATTAGCTTTGTGGCTGGAGTGCATATCCAGGTCTTTTCTAACCAGTCACAAAGTTTGGGTGTGGTGGTGATTGTATTCATACATGCTAGTAAACTAATGTTTCCCAGATGACTTTTACCTATCCCGTACTCAGGCCCTTAGTTAGGATATAAAATCATATTTCAAAAAGCCCTACTCCTTGGAGAAATGAGTGATTCTAGGAAATATACAAGATGAGCCTGGAACACCTTGTAATACTAGAAAGTAAAAAAGTACTTTTATTTTTTAAAAAAACCTCCAACAATGGGAGTACAAAAAAGGATACATGAGCCAGCTGAAAGAGCACC